AAATATTAGCTTCGCGATGCAGTTGTATTTTTAGCGAATTTTAGCAGGAGAGTGCTCGTTTGAGAACACCTTCCTACATATGGCTACCAATGTATTTTATTTGCGTAAATAAATACGCCATTATTATTAAGCAATAAATGTTGGAATATACAATATACAGACACCAAGACCTGGCGTAGAGTAAGACGGAAGTATTCTTTCTTCCTTACTGTTCAAGCTATCGGGCTATCAATGCATTCAAAAATATGAAACGGTTCCTGCTTAAAAGATTTAAACAACCCTGAATCATGGGAAGCAACATATTCTCAATTGAAAAAGGCATGATTAGAAAGAAGCATTTAAGAGCAAGCGACAAATGAGATATGTTATATCTATATAACTGCTAGCAAGAAAGTTCCAAGAAGACTTAAAAAAAAAGTGGTAATACAGGGAAAGGGAAAGGTCGTGGAAATCGCAGCGTAAGCAGTAAACACATTTTTACCACCAAATAATAGAGACGAAAAAGATCAACAAATTAATTATTCACTTGTTCTCATTTAGACGCACAATTTAATATAGATCCTAACCATAAAGTAAATAATCGAATTACTCTAAAAACATATAAACTATAAAGAAATAGTACACTACCGATCTTTCTGATGAACTTCTAGAAAAATATTTATGGCACAACATTAGTTGGTAAGGAAAATTACACAGCTCAACAATTAACTTTTCGGAAACAACAATCTTTTTTTGTGCAGCCAAAATGCAGCCGTGACGGCACAATATCGTGGTTGATTTCATTTTAATTCGGATTTTAAGTTATCAAACTATGATATTAATATATATTATCATGTAATGATAACACACGGGTATTAAAGTAACTTAAAACTCTAAAAACTGACTGACTAATGGTACTAAACTAAAAATATTGTTCTCTGTTATAGCATTTTAGCGATTTTGATTTTCCGCATTTAGCACTTAAATGCTCGATTGCTAATTGCCCCTTTCTTCAGACAAATTAATTTCGTTATACAAATTAAAATCTTTTCAAATAACAACTTCGTAATTTTCGTCGATTCAGAAACTGCGAATTTATTTTCCTTGCAATCCTCATTTTCCATTCAGAAAGCGTAAAAATTTATGTGTTTGTTTCAAGACTAAGAAGCGTGGCAAAAAGGGGGTTGGTTGCACTAAAGAGCGAATATTAATTTTCGAGTTTTCACTGGAATGAACACATTTAATAACATCGATTTTTGGGCGAACAGCAAATTTTAAATTAAAATATTGTAATTTTTTGTAACGTAATATCGTTTTGTATATTTTCGCTGTTAAAAAATAATAACTACAATCTTGCTTAAAATTCTGATTATGTGAAAACTGGTTTCTGAGATCATATTAGCTTAGTGTACCCACAATACCAAGAAAAATTAGGAGAACCATGAAACAACATTAACTCTAAATACCAGTAAGTTTTAATTATAACTATCGAAATACTACCGTTGAGCCAATTTAACGAAAGGTTCGACTGCGAATAGAAAACCACCCTAAACAGCAACTAAAATTGCCTATTTCGTAAGTTTTAAAGGGTGGTAAATTCAAAAGCAATATTGACAACTAATTTTACTAACACTAAATGAATAATATTAAAAGAAAAATCTTAGTACATTAACAGACTAACTGGTTTTTTTTTCTCCAAAAAGAGGCTACGTATTTTTTTTCTTCAGGAAAATTCGTTTTACACCCCATATGGACGCCGTTCATATCAATTAGAAAGAAATAGTGAAAGAAATGTATTAACCAATCACGTAAGTTTTACAATTCAACAAATCATAAATCAGCACATAACACAAGCCCATTGACTTTAAATAAATTTAAATAAAATAAAATTAAATTAAATAAATTTAAATGAATTTGACAAACACAAATAAACTCCAAGTTATAATACAAGTGTTGAAAAGCGTGTAGTGTTTTTCATAAAACTCTTTCCACTGATATACAACGTGTTTTCTAATTGAATGTCAATAATGAAGGCGGCGATTTTTGGGTCCATTTTAAAAAGAAAACTTCATATGAACATATATCCCAAACGTCTTAACTTTTGAAATACAGGGTGGTAAATTTTCAAAAATAAAATATTTTGTTTATATCTGTAATACCACTTTAGATATTTTAATGAAACTTTACACACATATACTATGTATCAAGAGGCGTTATTTAGTATACCACAATTTTTTTTAAATACAAACAACAGTAGCGGGCATACGGAATTTCGCCTGTCTGTTTTGGTAGATATTGATGGTACGCTTTAAAATAAAAATCATTCTTACAATCTCCAATCATTTATAAAGAATTTTAATTTCTTAAGTTTTTTCAATCCGATATAGGCCTTTCACTTTAGAATAAAAACTAATTTCGATATTGTTATGACCATGCAGAGAAGAGAAGAAATAAATTTCCTAAGAAATGATTAGGGATCAGTGGCGTGCCATCAACGTCTGCCAGGTGAAGTTCCGTCCGCCACTGGTGTATTAAAAAAAAAGTGTTGTTGAACACACATTTAAATTGTTTGTGTAGATATATAATCGCCTCTTAAAATATATGGGGTCATATAAACATAAGATGTAAGCCGTCAAAGAAGAAAATATTTGCTATTGATGTTATAAGAGGAAGGGGGCACATGATAAAAAATATTAATAAATTTGTAAAATATTTTGCAAGGAATTATATGAAATGTACAATAATAATCCATTTTTTTTTGCAAAAATATTTCAAATCTTTCTTAAAATCCACATTATTTATTATAACATACGAAGAACACATACGAAAATCAACTGCATTTGGATGGGAGTCATCATCATTTCAAACAACTTTGACATTAATGAAGAAGAAAAAACATATTGGTTTCTGATTTACGTGTATTAGAACAATAACAGCACTGTCAAAGTGTGAAGAAGCCGTCACAGTAATGTAAGAATAAAGCACGAGAAAATAAATATCAGTATCGTGACAAAAAAACTATTGCCTTACAATTAAATCGACTTTTCGTTAAAGCTAAAAAGGCTTTATTTGAAGAAAGAAATAGTGTAAATACTATCAATAATTACATCCTTGAGATTGATAAGATAAGATTGACGTTTGTCAGAATTCACAAACATCAATATACTATCCGTGGTTAAAATCTGCCGAAAACATTTAATTGCTCCCAAATCTCCGGTGTCGGGTGATGATAAATCGAACTTGCTGACGTTTTGCCAACCATTCTGTTGCTTTCTTCAGAGCTTAACGACAAAACATTTGATTGTGAATTTAATGCAAGACTAAAGCTAAAATTCAATTGAAGCCATTTATTTCTCCTTGGTTTTTGAACGGCACAATACTATGAGAAAGATTTTATTTCTCGCATTAAAAAAAAAAACGCTAGTATAAATTTTCGCCCGCAGCATCGGCAATACGATTAGCAACTTCGGTAACTTCATTCAAGCAGTGATCGAGGATTTTGGAAATGTTCGCAATAATGAAATTTTGCGTGGTAATAAAATTACGTCCCAATAAGCGATCTCTAAGCGGAAATCGATCATTTTAGCTTGTTCTACCGGCTTATAATAATGTTCTATCTTCGTGAAACTTTACAAGTATACTAAGATGCTCTCAGGACAAGTCGGTCTTAATAAACTTCTCTTAATTAGAAAATTAGAACTGCCATTAATATTTCTTTATTTGTTCATTTTTATATTAACGTATACTACCATCCGATTTCATATAACATATAGTAAAATAAACCGTAATAAAATTATACGGGTTGACCTAAAAAAACAGTTCATTAAATGCGAAACATCCGAGTGTATCCAATTTTGCAGGATCCCGTAGTAAACTCCCGATCTTTAAAACGGATATACTCGAAATTTGCAACAATGTGTTGTTTAAAATAGACCCATAAACTCGCGTGTATACGGTTTAGCGATTCGGTGAATATTCAGTTTACTTTTTCTACTTTTTGCGAAAGTTTTATATTTCAAGCACGTAGTACGAGTCTAGCAGGAATCCGGCAAACGCGATTTATCAAACTTCCTAGAATACTTATTTTTTACGCTTTGAACTTCAGTTCGTCCTCGAACGAAGAATTAGCAGAAAATATAATAAAATATTTTAATATCGGATAAATTAATCTGCGCAAATGTAGTACGTTATTAATCGGGCTCTATTTTCATTTTTATTTTTTTTATTAATGATATTTAAAAGGATTATTGGAAAATGCATAATAAGAAGGTAAATAGTCTAGCAGAGTTGTGAAAATTATTAATTAGTTCTTGGATCGTTAACAATATTCGTTGAAGCATGCACCATTAATACTTTTCTATAGGATGTAGCATAAAAATATAATTTTCAAGATAGAAATATTCAGGAAACACCGATAGAAACATTAGGATTATTTCGATTTGTAAGCAAACATAAAAAATTAATATTCTAATATTCTCCTAATATGTGCTTAATGTAATGTAATATGTTCCATATTACATTATAAGTCTAATTTAAATATGAAAATATTAATTAGAGTGAATTAAAACAGAAGCGACAAAACTGTGGACATCGTTTAAATCCAATCTGTGAGTGATAATACACTCATAATTCAAAACAAATAGGCATAATGTTTTTTTTTAAAATAAAATAACTTAAACTTGAGTCAATTACTGTTACATTATTTAGAAATGATAAAGTTTTCCTGAATGGCTGGCACTGTAGGCTTTGGACATCGTTTAAATTTGAATTGATCACATAGTCTTTTAAAAACCTAAAACAATTAAGGTCGGCAAAGAAATTATACAATTTTCGGTCCTGTATCTGCCAAAGTTTAATGTTAAAGGTCTTTTTTGTATGAATATCGTATATTATCTAGTCATTAGAAAACTACAAAAATGCATGCAACACTATGTAGTGTAGTAGCTTTTTTTTTATTTGTTAAATGCATGATACTTTTGCCAAAAACTATTAGCAAATTATGACAAACTATTTCTCATTAGGTGACAGCGACCGATGGCGACAAAGACAGACCACAGAATATTGTCTACTTCTTGACCGGTCAAGGAATTGATCCGGATAACCCTGCGAATAGCAAATTTGACATCAACCGAACCACCGGTGAAATATTCGTCTTGAAGGTAAGTGCTGCTTTTCGGTATTCTAGCTAACGTAATGATTTTCTAAAAAAAATATATATTTTTTTAACGCCAGATGTCAATGTAAAAGTTAACAAATTTTAAAAAGTGTACTTTGTTAAGTTCTTTAGAACTTTACTTAGCGGAATTATTCAGTATATATAAACCCTAAGGAAAACATATATATTCGGAAATGACAATTACTTTTTTATTTACATTGACTATCAGTATTTTCCACGTCTTTTTCCTTACATGTCTGAGGATCCTCAGTTTTAAAGTTCGTTAAAGATATTTTTTTTTCAAAACTGAGCTGGTTTGTTTAAAATGTGACGACAATGTTCTGTTCCACACCTCTTCGTCGATGTTTTGTGTAATCTACAAATAAACATTATACAATATTATTCATTTAGAATTATAAAATAAATGTACATCGTACTTTTCAAAAGCATTTTATTCTTTGTATTGAAAAAATATTTTACATTTTTTATAACTATAGAGTTAAGACACTCGAAACTTGTTGACCGTTCGATTATAAAGCCAAAAGGAACGTACTCTTTTATATATTGACGTTTGTTCGAAAGTAACGACCATTTCCGCGTGAGCGAAAAGGAAACCACCGAGCAAAAGTTACATACGTCGATATCAGCTGAAAGGCGTTTTATCAGCTTGTTTTTGTTGTTGAAATGAACCCGTTAGAGAAGAGCCGCCGCCCTATTTCGGATGGACTGGTTAAAAGAAAATGAGATTTTCGACCGTAAAAACGATCTGAAGAACTTCCATATGGCACACGCGTTCGAGGCAATGTCCTGGAAAATTTCATAAAAGAGCCAATGATCGTGAAGTTATAAAGGTCAAAAGGATGTCAGTCTCATATCGTGGACTCCTGGGTATGTTTACTTTGCGTAAATTGTGTTGTAGTATGTCATCGACATAAGAGGTGATCATATATGAGACCCTTTTATATGGTTAAATAATTTAATTTATTTGATAGACAATCTTAATTACGCAGAAACCTGAATCTGAATCTTAATGTTGAAAAACAACAACAAAATGGTAAATTTGTTCAACAAACAAAAAGTGTATTGCAAAAAATAATGCCCACTGAGATTAAAAAAACTCGTTCTAACAAAAATGAAGAAGGATATTCTTCAATTATCAACATGCAAATTTAGTCCTCTGGATAATTTGCTGCGTTTAAACATTCTGCATGTGTAAGGCAAACATCAGATCTTGAGATATAAATAAACTCACCCAGGAGGATGGTGGTTGAACATCCGGTCTCAATTTTATTCGGCTAAAATTATCATATTATATCATATCATATAATCATTATTATCATGCAGTTGCAAAAGTATTAATCTTTAAAGTTTCACACCAAATATACGCCCAAACCGAAAGTGATAGCTAACAGAAAATATTCGAATGGTAAAAATAAAGTGAATTGTATTTTAATTTAAATTCTCAATTCTGGACTTTTACACCAAAAATAAATCCCAAAGTACACAGTTCAGATTTTAATCACGTCGCTATGTGGATAATTTTTTAAACCATCGATGTTTGTTTAACCCTCGACTCAACTGAATATACCAAGTTGTTTTGCTTGAACAATGTTCCTATTCCTTCGGTTAGAAAAGGCAATTAGACCGAGTTTTAATATAACTATCGTCCCGGTTTTATTTGTCTTTATCGTCGCGATTGTATTCGGATTCATAATTAAATTTTAATTAAGAATTAAACTTTGTATCGTATTTAATGTTATTGTTATTAAGAATTACATCGTCTTTAATTAAAATCTTGAGGACCCCGAACCGATGTAAAGTTTCCTCTTATTCTCTTCTATTTTGTCTCGTTTTGTTGGGGGAATTTTATTTTTGGGCATATTTTAAGTTGTCTACTGTTTGAATACTAACTATACGTATGCTATATACGTTATACCGTTATATAAATATATACCGGGTGTCTAAAAAGTATAGTTTAGTTTTAATTTAGTGTCGATAATAACCATCACATATTAAGTAGCAAGTTTGATAAACTAAAACTACTAAACTAAATATTACTAATATAACTAAAATATACTAATTTTCTACTTCCGTCTGTAAAATACCCAATTACACACCGATCTAGCGTGCAGGAATCGTCAATTTATCACGTCAGTTTGGTTTCCCATGGATCTGAGCCGCGATTGTACCATTTTCAAATATCCATGTCTCATCACTACAAACAAAACGATATTGAAGGTTAGGGGACCTGCTTTTTCTTGCTTCTACAATTTTAAAAATTTAATCCTCTTAAAAGCTCTATCCATGGATGCTTTTTCTTCCAATTACAGTCATTTTCTTTAAATAAACAACTTAACGAGCAATTCCAAATGTTAAATTAACAACATAACGTTTTAAAATTGTGTTTATTCCGTTGTTTATATGACATATCCAATAAAAAAAAAATCTCTCTCTGTCTAACGTAGACAGTTAAAAAGAGACAACAATAGCAGAACCAATCGGAACAATAAACGAATAGGTTTAATGGCAACTAGTAAATATTTTGTTATTATGCAACGCGTTTGCTATCTCACTCGTTTATTAAACGCTCCGCTAGTGCCAAATAACTTGTTGTATAAGATACTATTAATAAACGAGTGACTTAAAAAGTTTACGGAACGTGTTGCATACATTTTCGCAAAACAACACGAATACCTTCACTGACATGCCTGTCAGAATTGACAATCGTCAAAATTCAAGGAGGATTACTCCCAAACCCGTGCAATAAAATCCCGGAAATGTCCAAAGTGGCTCGGATCCATGGGAAAAGAAACTGAAGTGGTAAACTGACGCTTCCCGCACGCTAGATCGGTATGTAATTAAGCATTCTACAGACGGAAGTAGAAAAAAGAAATTAAAACACTCGATAATAGATATGTTTTTTTTTCCTGATTTTCTAGTCGTCGATTTATAACATTCATTCCGCGTCGTTTTCGTAAACATCATAAAATAGGGAAGTGGCGCTTCAATTCGGATAGCAAACCGGCGCTTTTTATCCGTGTTCGCAGAAGCAGCAATAAATTCCCGGGAAACAACGAAACCTAGTCGCGCTGGCAACAGCCGAGACAAAAACAAACGACCGTCGCTTTTTTTTTCGATAAATTTATCGGTATTTTCCGAATCGACATAAACGTTCTGAAAGAACAAACAAATTCGACGAAATCTGGCAATTAAAAATTTGCTTGTAAACTGCAAGAGTTCATTCAAATCAGCAAATAAATAAAACGCAAAAATCTGTGTAATTGCACTGCTTGTGTAAACACATAATTATCCAAAAGCTCTCAATCGGATAGAGGTCTTAACGAACTTTATTTTCGGTAAACAAATATTGATACCTGAGATATTGAGTTAATACTATTCTAATTTGTGAAACACAAATATGTGTCAAGGAATAAGGAGAAAAAGCAGCAGCACAAATTTGTCCACTTATCATATCGTTACGCGTGATCAGTTAAAAAAAAACTGAAAAGCAAATGAATGAACGTAACGTTTTGAACATAGGAGTTAACACAATTAAATTGAACAAAAAATGTTCAGATTTTCAAATTTATACATTTATAAAGTCACAGTGTTGCCGAAACAGCTGTCATAAACTAATCAATAAATAATAGAGGAAATTTAAACATTTTTTCACTCATTGTTAAAATCATCACCAGAAAGGCTGATGAAACTCAAAATATTTAAATCAATTAAATGGTTAAATAGATTAAAATTCAAATATTATGAAAACATACAAGGGAAAATGTCTCAAGGTAAAATTTTACCATTTACCAAATTTTATTATTTTTTTAATTTTATCACTATAGCGCTCCATGGCGGTACAGACTTCAATATAATTTTCAGCTATATCTCTCGTCCGCGTTACCAGTCTCTGGTCTGCGTGATTTGATTAATTGAATTTTTTACAATATTTTTATTCGTTTTCTGAATTCAATATTTCAACCAAAAAAAAAACAACCAAAATAGAAATCTTAACTGTCAATTGTAAAATTGTCACCAATCACCAATATTTGATTGTAGCAACAATAACAAAATAGAATTGACACGCTGACCACGTTTCGAAAATAAATTTCGCCTTTCATGAGGACAACAAAAGTGAAAAATCCAAATGCTTCAATAGAATTTTTGCAATATTCAAAATATTACAGACTAAAACCAAATTACTTTTTTTGTTGTTTGGTCTCATTAATTCAGTAAAAAAAAAAACGATTAAAAAAATTAAAAATTGCACGGAATCGGGACTTGATGAAAGTATTATCATCCCCCGGCACGCTAGGGTTAAATGTTGGGACTGGATTAATGAACGCGTTTTGTGACGAATACGATACGTGACTTTTCCAGGGACTGGCGATTTTTATACGAATCCGAGCAAACTTCATTCCGCTTGGCAAAGATTTGGTTCATAAAGGGTTTCCGTTGACAATAATGCCTAACTAATTCCTAAACCTAACCTTTCCAACACGTTTTTCTTTCCTGGGCATCTAAAGGAGTTCATTATTATTACAAAAACTCTAACAAAATATTTTTGGTAAGAAACAAATGTGCATTCACTTGTTCTTTTACTTTTTTCTCTCTGTACTTTGAAATGTGTGTGGCTTATGAATTTTGTTTTTTGGTTTTAATAATATTGCTTTTATTATTAGGTTTTACATTTATTATATATTAATGCATGAGATGCATCTGGTCATTCCTAAGATATTAAAAATAATTTTAATTACCAACGTAATGCCAATTTAATTATGGTAAAACCAAATGGCAAGGTTTATTTTGTTACCAATTATAATTTGATACCCATTGTCTGTGGTACATATTGATAACGGAACACCATTTTTTTCCGTCGATCTTATTATTATTATTACTTTTTAAAATAAGAAATGTTAAATAATGACTAACTTTTAAAAAATATCTGTTTCATGAAAACTCACATTGTTCTGCGCTCGTTCTAAATTTTTTACTTTTTGCACT